CAATCGTGGTAATGGTTACCCATGGTGGACAATGTTGGCTGGAGCTTCCCGACTAAATCAAGCCTGGAAGCAGGAGCGGCATCCACTTCCAAAATGGCTTGCCTCTGGAAACTCTATGTACGAACAGTGCTCAGGCTGTTCGTTCATAGGGTCACTATGAGTCATCTACCACTCGATGGCATTAAACAACAACAACATAAAATACATGGGAAGAGAGTGCACATCTTTCTCCCCTTGAGCAGTGGGTGGATTTGAACCATGTGCCTTCAGGTTTGCAGCACAGCTTCTTACCACTGAGGCCACCAGAGCTCCCTTAATAGTTGATAGACTCTTGAGGGAACTAGAATCAGATTCCTGAATAGGAGAGAAATTCTCTAACTGAACAAAGTGTTTAATTAATTATTCCTCCCCACCCCCTATTATATTGAGGAAAGTGGAGAAAGCCTCCTTCTTTGTGGTGCAGTGAATAATATGGACCTTCTTGCCATAGTCTTTGTGACTCCTACACAGTAAGCGGTGACTCTGCAAATAAGGTTCTTATGACACCCAAAGGGATTTGACAGCTTGCTATTAATGAATGCTGTTAAGGTGCGTGGAACATACAGTGGTTAAACTGGTGTGTCAGGTTGCGTGGGCCACAATTCCCAATGGCTTAGTGCTTACATAGTGGACTTTTACAGCGAGGTGATGATTTAGGCATCCCCTGTTCTGTAATCTGATTTTGTCTTGTGATCCTAGCCTCTGTGCCTGTGGTTATGGTCCTATTTGAGGTAGGATTAAAAGGGAAAACATCTTGAGACACTGCCTTGTGAGAGGGTGTGATTTAAGTCACTACCCTTGTTCAAGTCACACCCCTGCACACCTGGCTCAGCTAGGAGGAGTTTTCTTGAAAGTATGTTCTGTATTCAATACATATGAACACTCTGGCAAAGTTTTCTCTTCCATTGGATCCTGAAACCATGAAACCTCCAACCTGTTTTCTCCTCCACAGATTTGGGACTTGCTAGCCTCTACAACTAGGTAAGCCATTACATTGACAGCTCATAAATTCTATGAGACTTTGTAGTGAATTATGGAATCTGCAAAATGGGAGGGGGCATACTGAGGGGAGCAGAAGTAGTTGATTTTCTAGAGATGATGGAAGGATACAGAAGTATGGAAAATTTTTGACATTTGAGATATTGTTAACCTCTGCCTCATAAGAAGCAGCGTTATACTAATTTCTTGTAAGTAGTCATTCAATCTGTGATACCTAAAATGATTGGCCTGGAAAGATTTGGTGGAACCTTGTAATTAAAACAATCATCATTAAACTTTTATAATTCCAGTCTGTGGTGTGATGTGAAGTGGAGTTCTGTTTTTTGGTGGGTTTTGTGTTTTTTTTTTTAATGGAAGTAAATTTTAAAGTTTCTCTTCAGTAAATCTTGACTTCAGAGGATAAGAAAGCTTATCACCTTTATCATAGGCATTCCTATGAAAATGACATGAGCCAGGAAGCTTCTAACTGTTCATGGAAATTTATTTTAAGAACAGGGAAAGTAAGATGAGTTTCACTTTTAGGAAATGGAGCATGGAAAATATTTTTTAACTTAAGGAACAGGTAGCAATGCTATTTTCCTTACAATTATCAGAATGTTATTTACAAGGATGGAAAAAACAAAAACAAACCCAAAATCCAAACATTTCACTACTGCATGGTAATTGATGTTCTTTTTCACTATTATAGTTATTTCTGGAAAACATCTCTTGTCCATAATAAAGCTTAGCTGTGCTTATTAACCACCTACGTAATAGATCTAGAACCCAAATGAATGCACTGGAATGTTTTGGAGGTCTCACCATTTTAATAGGTGAGAGGTCTAGATACTACATTTTACCATCTTAGATGCTTATAAAATCAAAGGATTGTAAATCTGGATGGAAGTACAATGGTTGTGTTTTGTTTTGCATTTTTATTTTTTTAGTTTTAAAAAATAAAATAGGCTTTTCTTCAAATCCAATATGAGAGTTGTAATGCAACGGATATTTTTTTTTTTTAAGAAAGGCTCCAAACAGACCCTCCTGGGTGGCTCAAAAGGATTGCACTTGTTTACTAATCTAAAGATTGAGAATTTGAGCTCACTTAATTGTATCACAAAGGGAAGGCCTGTTAATCTACTCCTGTAAGGGTTACAGCCAAGAAAACTACAGTTGGTCTGCTTGGTGACATGGCTGAATCTCCATTAGTCGGAATTGAAAGCAATGGATTTTGGGTTTTTTGCTGACAGTAAATGATACTTTTCAATAGTAAAAAAGGCCTTTTGAAGAGGTTGTCATTGTTTAGTGATGTCCATTTGAATGCAGCTCATAGCGACCCTATGAACAATAGATCAGCACCCAGTTCTGTCATCTGCCATCCTTATCATCCCCAGCGCATTTGAACTCATTGCTGCAGACACTGTGGTAATCCATCTTGGTGAGGGTCTTCCTCTCTTTTGCTCACTTTGCACCTTGCCAAGCATGATGACCCTTTCCAAAGAATAACCTCTCTTAACATGCCCAAATTCTCTGAGAGGAAATTTTGTCATCCTTACCTCCAAGAGAACACTGGTTGCAATCCAAGACATAGTTGTTTGTTCTTTTGGCAGTCCATTCAGCACTCTTCTCCAACACTACAATAAAAATATCTTCGTTCTCCTTTTATCTGTATCATTTTCAGCTCTCGGATGTATAGCAGTAGATTGGAAAGGCTAGGACTTGAATCAAGAACACTTTAGTCTTTAAACAGACATCATTGCTCTTCAGGACTTTGAAAAGATCCTGGACAGCACATATTCCCTGTGCTATACATCTCCAGATCTCCTGACTGTTCATACAAAGGGTGTTGATTATGGATCCAAGCAAGATAAAACGGTTAACAATTTCAATCTTTTCTCCATTTTTCATGATGCTCTCGATTAGCCCAGCAGGGAAGATTTTTGTTTTCTTGATGTTGAAATGTAATCCATACTGAGGCTGC